AGTCGATTGCTCGAAAGATCAATAAGTTTAAGGAGTCCTAAGGTATTTGTGTACATTGACTCCTCTCCTTTCCACTGAACAAATGCATAGTCAATGTAGCCATCAGTAGCCACGGTCCGGACTTCAATCTTGGTGGTAGTGGTTTTGTTTTTGTCAACCAGTGCAGTAAATCTGTCAAAGCATTCCGGAATCTTTCCAGTCAAATTGTTTCTAGAAAGATCCAACACTTGAATCTGAGTGAGATCACATATTTCTAGAGGAATAACACCGTAAAATCTGTTTTGGCGCAGGCTTAGAAATGCCAAGTCTGTATACTTTTCCCCTAACCATGGCGGAAGTGTTCCTGTTAATTTGTTCCCCCCAATATCAATCTGTTGCAGAAGTGGACATCCCTGCAGAGTGGAAGGTAACTCCCCGTAGAAGCCATTTCCTCGTAAGTGTATCGTTTTAAGCTTTGATAGAGAGCCCAGAGAGTGTGGAATTTCACCAGAAAGGTTGTTGTAATTCACATTGAGAATCTCCAATGCCTGCATGTTCCTCAAGTCGCTGGGGAGCGTTCCCGTCAACTGGTTATTAGAGAGGTCAAGCCATGAAATCCTGCAATAGGCGTACGGGCATAAGGAATTAATGGTCCCGCAAAACATATTTTGGGAGAGCTGAAGAACCCAAATGAGCGGACTAATTGATGGTACAGTCCCTGATAAGTTATTATACCCAGCATCAACAATCCCAATGGAAGTGGACGACAGATCTGGGATTGTGCCAGTAATCTGATTATGAGACAGGTTCAAGTATCCCAGAGACATATTCCATAGCCATTGAGGGGCTTCATCAGATATACCAGCATTAGAAATGTCCAGATTAACAACATACCCCCTTTGTGTCTGAACCCATTCAGGGAAAGAAGGGCCGATTTTGCAGTTTGCTAAGTATATAAGACGCGACTTGAAAGACGGGATCCAGTTTTTGCTGAACTCCAACTTCAATCTATTAAATGATAAATCTAGGTACCTTAAGTTGCTAAGGCCTATGAAGTAGGTTTCCGAGAGTGTTCCTTGTAATGAATTATGCGAAACGTCGAGGTGTTCAAGCTTGGAAAGACCGGCTGTGGGAGTCTCTACTGTTATGAGTTTATTGTTGTCGAGGAACAACCACGTCAATGCCTGAAACTTCCCTAGGTTTGGCACTGACCCTGTGAAGTGATTATGCGATAAGGTTAAAGAGTATAGTGATGACATCAGTTTGCTGCTGGCTGAAGCGAATAAATCCTCAAGAGGTCCTCCCATGTCATTATGGGAGAGGTCTAAGTCTACCAAACTTAAATTCCCTAGAGACTTTGGGATCTGTCCTTCAAACATGTTGTCATGGAGATAAAGAGATTCCAGAAAAAACAGCTTCTCAAACGCGTCTGGGATTGGACCACTAAACTGATTTCCTGACAGGCCTATATAAGCAAGACTTGCACTTGTGTTAAACAACAACCATTGTAATGTGGTGGAAGAAGTGAGCTTGTTCGATGACAGATCAAGGGTAGTTAGCGATGATGAGGTCGAAGAGTTGACACGGGCGAGACCTCGTTCGAATGTGATGTCTGTGATCCCACAACTTACGATGGACAATGTGTCAAGAGAGGGAAAGCTCAGCACTTGGTGTAGCCAAAGCAAATTGGCGTCTTCACTTGTGTTCATGTGATCCAAAACAAGACGAGACAACGATGATAAATGAGAAAGCCAATAGAGGTTTCCTGACCGAATGCCATAGTTGCCTCCAAGGTCAAGCGTCTGCAACTGTGTAAGGTTCCCTAGCTGAGGAGGAACCACCCCGGAAAAGTTGGAATAACTGAGATCCAACAGCTGTAAAGCTCTAATGGAGCCGATGAATTCGGGGATTCTTGTTCCTCCAAAATCATTATAACTCAGAACTAAATGATTCAAATGATGCAATTCGAGTAAGGCGGGACTGATCTTGCCTCCCATTGGAACCGTCGAAGTAGTCAAACCCCCAAGCTGGAGGGCAGTCACATGACCTGTGACGTTGTCACACGCGACATGCTTCCATTGGCAACATTCATTTTTGTCGGCCTCACTTCCCCACGTTGACAACATACGGTCATCCTTATCTGTGAAGCCTTCCTTCAACTTCAGAAGTGCCTCTCTTTCCCTCTCTATGCACCTCGTTTCTCCTAACACAGACCTCAAGTAACATGTGATCATGCATGCAGAAATAAGAACAAACAGCCATGTAGGAACCCCCATCTTTTCTCTTTTAGAATTTTCTCTTAGAAATACGAACAAGCAGCCTGGGAGGAAGAACCATTTTACTTTTCGTAGTGCATGTTTGTGGAAAAGGTAAAAGTCAACCTTGAAGACTAGTCTACGTGACTGCGCCTCACCTACTGCTCCTGCTGCTTGATGGACACCTCCACAATCATTATCATTATTAGTTAATTATACTCCCTCCGTCCCGCAAAGAAGTTCCCGCTTTTCTTTTTTAGCAGTCCCAAAAAGAAGTTCTCCTTTCTTTAAATGACAAGTTATCTACATCAAAACAGTGCAAAACAATGTCAAACAGTGTTTAAACAGTGTCAAAACAGTAAAATTACCCCGTGGTAAGTTTATTTCCTTAATATTATGTGTGTAGGTCAAACCGGGAACTTCTTTGCGGGACGGATGGAGTGTTATTTTTATTTTATTTTTATATAATAATTTGACAAATTTGTTCCTGAATTATGCTGCGCCTTTATAAAATGTGTATAAATTAAATGTTAAATGACTTTTATACTTTATAGTATTGTAAAAATCCAAGTCCGAGTTATAAGTTTATAACCAGGAAAAGAAACAACTAAAAGCATTCATAGGTTACTACGAGTTGCTTATGACTTATGAGGAACTGTTTAGGTTGTCTTAACTCCTAATCATACTCCGTATTATTTACGGAGTATCATTTATTCTCATTTTAGTATGTTAGATGAGAAGATTAATTCATATTAGATCATATCAGAAAATTTTAGATATAAAATCTGAAATAATGCTGATAAGAAATTTGAGATAATATTAATTGAATAGCTCCTTTGTTACTGCATGTGCACAAAATCAAGTAGTGAGTGACATATTTGCTCTTTTGAAATTTGTTGAGATTTGCATCAATAGTCGACCATTGATTAGCGAGGTTGGCGTCATTCGCGACGGTCACAACAGCCGTGGTGGTTTTCGGTGTCAAGAATGATGATACAACTGACAACAATGTCACCGGTAATAACCACCAACGATTTGGTGATAGCTAGTGGCAAAGTCAGAAAAACGATTTATGGGAAGAAACTTAATTAAATCTAAAATAAAAAGGGTGAATCGTCTTTAAGCAATACATGAATTGAATATTCCATGTCACTTAGATAAATGGTAGTTTAAATAAGACTAGTATATTTAAGTATTGATCTCTCTCTCTAGAGTTGTTGCTTGGCCGCTAGAGTAGATTTTCGTTTTCCGTTTTATTCGAGGACGAAGAACGGTGTCCCTGACGGAAGATCGAGTTACGCAGGAAGTGCCGTAGACGAAGGTCGAAGTCGTGATATCCTACTAGGCCCAAGTTTCGCCTTTGGCCGAAGGGTGCTGGGATATTGCGATTGCGTTGGGGTCAAATTAATGGATGAGTTTGTGAATCAATACAAGAAGATGACTATTGGGCAGGAGGACAGTGAGTTGAATTTTGATGACAAGGGAGTCGGAGAATTTGATACAACCGAGAAGAGGGCCGAGTTTCCGGTGGTGGGATTTGTTCTCACGGTCACAGATTGGAAAATCAAGTTTCAGGCTTTCAAGGATCTTTTGGCTCCGATTTGGCGTCCGGGGAAAGAGGGATCAATCAAAGAGATAGACTACAAATCTGTTTACTTTTTATCACATTGTGGATATGTATCGTGTTCTTGAAGATGGTTCTTGGTTATTTGAGAGAAATTTATTGCTTCTTAAGGAAGATAGACCAGATGATTTTCCCCATAAAATGAATTTGAGTGAAGCTGAATTTTGGGTACAAGTGCATAATGTTCTGTATAGCTTTATGAATATAGGAACTGCTAGAAGGGTGGGAAACTATATTGGTGAGTTTATTAGTTTTGATGAGAGCCACTTTGATGAGAAGTGATAGTCATATATGAGAATTAGGCTGAGATTGGATGTGGGGAAGCCTCTGAAGAAGGGTTCTAACCTTAAGAGAGGTGGTATTAGACATTGGGTGGATCTTAAATATGAGAAACTCCTTAATTTTTGTTTCATTTGTGGGGTGATTGGGCATACTGATAAATTCTGTCCGTTGAAATATGAGGATGATATAGTTTTGGAAAAATCTTTTGGGGTAGAACTTCGAGCAGGTGGAGGGGTGAAGACTAGCCCGACAAGGGGCAATAAGTGGCTAGTGGAAAAATCTTCGGGTTCAAGGGTGGTCATACAACAGAGGAGGACAGGTCAAGAGGGTGAATGTACTACAGAACAAGGAGAGCGAGAGTCTACAGCTTGTACAAACATGGTTCTAAAACTCGAATTAATCGGCCGCCTAGGCACCGGAAATTCGCTAGGCGCCTTCATCCCGTAGAGATTTTATGTTGTTCGCTCCTATAGTCGCTCAGCCGACTAATCGGCCGCCCGGACCGAGTTGTTCGCTCCTATAGTCGCTCAGCCGACTAATCGGCCGCCCGGACCGAGAAATCGGCGGAAAACCGTCTGCCTAGGAAGAAATTTAGTCGCTCCTAACCTTTTAATCAGTAGCTACGTTTTTGACTTTTTTTCCCCGATGACGGGGCACCTCTTACATCCGTTCCCCCAATCCACTAAGCAAATTAAATTTGGTGTGCCCTCTTTCTTTACTTCCCAGACCTAAAAACGCAACCTTCTCATAACACTATTTCGCTGTGGTGATCAGTGATTGAATACGAGTGATAAAAGTGATGATTTTTTTTTGTTTTAAGAACCTTCTCACAACCTTCTAGCATAAGAATTGAAAGTCATGATCTGTACAAATATATAATGCTCCATTCATCTCATAAAAATTATTTCTGTTCTTTTAATCTACAAACTGGATGCACTTCAAACGTGCTATAATCTAACAAATTAATTTACTATCTTCATATGACACAATACACTTGTACACCAAAAAAATGTGGAGTATGCGCTTGTACAGTTACACGCTTAAACCATGTAGAGGGAATGCACTAAGCCTGGGGAAATTTGATGGCAACTAGTTAACACATTGATACAACCACTTACAGTTTCCAATAACTATTCTAGGCTTTCCATCATAGTAGTCCCAATTCCTTCTTCAACCGAGCTAGAGCTTCTTCGATCTCATCCAAATTTTCCTCAATGTTACTTCTTTTTTCAGTCGCTTTATGTTCTGTGCCATTTGACATTCCATCTACACTAGAAGATGCATTATTCTGAGCCGCTTTTTCCCTGAGGCTCTCCTCTTCTGCCTCAGCATCAGTTATGTCAAGTTCCTTCTCTAAAAACTCAATGAATTCTTCACCAATTTCCTGTTAAGTACCAACCATTTACAGAACAGAGAAATGTAACATAAAATAGCCTTCCACTTTTTGATGGGCATAAAAGAACTTGCGGGTTATGTTTGGGACTCAGAAAAGGAACAGAGAAAAATACCAAGACAAATAGTTTTTGAATGGTTGAATTTTCCTTAGAAAATAAGAAAATTCCAAAAAACAAAATGTCTAGGGGATGTTTCCTTGTGCTTGATAGGCTTAACCGGGTAGTGACAATTGTCCAGCCATCAAGTTGTTTTGCTTACGACTAAATTGAAAATATGCCTTATTCATTCAGTTAAACACTGACTAAACATTAAGCCCTAAGATATTTTTCATTTCCTAACTAAGCCCTAATAATTAGGCATTCCCTTATTAAGAAAATAACTATTATGGAATAGATTGTCATAGAGACTTCGATTCAACCAATTCTTTAAACCCATTATTTAAACCCATTATGAAATAAATGTTGGTTATTAAGTGGCATTACCCATTAAATTAAACTGTCTCTTGCATAAAGACTATTTAATCTTAATACGATTTGGACTTGTAGAAAAAATAGTAAGCAACCCCTCCAACCTTTGTGGAATTTTTCACATATCTATAATTCATAGAACTTACATATTACAAATATTAAAGAAAATGAGTTCAAACATCTCCAAATATAGATTAAATTGAGTTTGAAGCAATTTTTTATTTTTTCTCACGTTTTATTTACTTCAAATTTTCCTACAATTTTTCTCCCTACTTTAATTCCCTTGCATTTCAGGAGATCTAAGTTGTCACATTTTCGATATCTTCTCTTGTTTCTAGATATAGTGATATACAGTACAAGAATATTTAATTCACTCACCGCCACTTCCTCCCACAAACTCTTCGGCTTCCCTTGTGAGGCTAAATTTACTTCCCAATTTCGGAATTCTTCTTGAACATCCTTAAAGAAGTCCTCTGCAACAAAATAAGTAAGTTTAACTGTTTAAGCCTCACCATGTGACTTCAACTGGCAAAATAGAGGTTTATAAGTGCCCTAATATTAGTGGAAGATTAAGCTTGGTAAATAAGTGATTGCGATGATCTGCAGAATCTACCTACTGTAACTTGTACATCCCTGAAAAAGTTACCTGCAGGACGAAGGGGGTAAAGAATAAGAATTAAATTTTAAAGATTTTCTATATTTTACTCCGTATTTTATAAAGACTAATTCCCAATAGATTATATATTGATATAATGCTAAACACTGTTTTTGTAGATTCTAAGATTCTAAATGTACAGATCATTGTTTGTGTTAGCCAGATATACAAAAACAATTTGGTAATGCGGTTTAACTTATGCGATGAAAACACATCTCACCAAATCCATAAAAATCTTCATCTTTTGTTGTTCCACTTTGGCTACCCGAAGTTGTGTCATAAGAATCATTAGATGAGTCACTTCCAGAACCATACTTCTTTCTTGCCTTGGAGTTTAGCACTGTATTGTAGGCATGCTTAATCCTCATAAACTTCTCCTTTGCATTGGGCTGAAGTGGCAAAGCATAAAGTGTTAGCAACTTAGCATAATTTCGCCGAACAATTCAATGTAAGTCTCTTGTACATGCAAACAAAATCAATGTCAAACACTATTGAACTAATGAATTTCCACACATCACAGAACAAATTAGGATTATTAACACTGAGAATTATAATCACTTTCCTCCAAATACCCTTAGAATCTGAGGGGTGTTTGAAACTGATTCTTCCTCTGCTTCTTTTTTAAAGCAGAAACAGAATCAGAATCAGTTTTCAGAAGCTGGTCACCAAAAAATTGATTCTATAAGTAAATTTGAGTACCAGAATCACTTCTGCACTTTCACCCAAACACTCCATCTTCTGCAGAAGCAGTTTTAAGAATCAGATCCAAACACCCCCAAGTGGGCATTTGTCAAGCTCTTTCTAATTAAGCAGGTATAGCCCAACAGATAATCCCATCCAATCAACTCAACCACCATTCTTAAGATTGCCATAGATCATTAAAAAAAAGATTGCCATAGATCAAACAAAACTAGTTTAGAAATTCCAAGCTCACCAAAGTAAGAGCCTCTACCAAAACTTAGACACATTCCAGCTGATATAACATAATTGCGCATCCTTTGGACCTTTACACGCCATTTCTCTTCATTTTTTAATAGAAGAATATCATGCATACTCAAAATACAGATATTCGGAATGATTACCTCTTTATTGACATCAGGATGATATTTAAGAGCGAGTTTCCTATACGCTTTCTTAATTTCATGTGGAGTTGCAGCAGGCGAGACGCCCAAGACCTCGTAAGGAGTCTCTCCTTTGCGGCTGGCCTTCACGGCGGTCAACCTCTTCTTGTGGCAGGAATTTTGGTGAGAAGAGATTGAAGAGGAAATTGGTTTCTGTAACAGAGGGTTGAAAACGGGTCGATACCCGAATCTGAAAACGGGTGAAGGTGGGAACTTGTGTTGGGTGTGAAGTGGCGGTGCAAAAAGGTAGATCTGGGTCGGGTTTACAGATACCAAATCCATTCATCTTCTGGTCGATCTCCAACTCGTGCGGTTCTTTTTATCCTTTCAGGAATACTCCGTATGTCTCAAGTCTTAACACCTGGAAGAGGTTAGGCATGGCAATGGGTCGGGGCGGGGCGGGTATTGCAAGATCCGGACCCGCCCCGTGACTTGGCGGGGCGGGTCCGCCCCGCCCCGTGACCTGCACGGGTCCAAACTTGTTGACCCATGACCCGCCCATGCGAGGCGGGGCGGGTCCGCCCCGCCCCGCCCCAACCTAATTAGCTAGTATGTATTTTTATTTGTGGGAAGTTGTTACCAATTGAATATACATAAAGTTTATCTCTAAATAATAATTAAAAATCAATACATTAAATCAAATTCATGATACGTTAAAAATTTCAAAAATTAAGGAAAAATTACTTAGACTTGAATAGTTAATCTAATTAGTTATATTAATAATTGAATATATGTATTAAAATTCTATATATAAAGAAGACATTGATAGTCCTTTGTTCATCTCATTCTAATATATATTCATATATTATAAGATCAAAGAATTTGTGATTTATTGTATACACACATATGTATGTTGAAGTATATTTGTAGTATTATTTAAGAAAAAGTATGTATACTTGTATATTGAGCGGGTCGGGGGGCGGGTCGGGGCCGCACGTGTCAATTCTAATACGCGGACCCGCCCCATTGTATAGGCGGGGCGGGGCGGACCCGCCCCATTTGCAAGATCGGGCGGGGCAGACCCACCCCAAATGTCTCGGGCCAAGGCGGGTCATTGCGGGTCGGGGTTTTTTGACATCCCTAGAAGAGGTTCATGCCGAACAATTTGAGAAATGTGCCAACATTTTAACTTTTTTTTTTCTACCCGATAAATAGGTTGAAACTCTACTCTTAAAGTTTGGATCTCGGGAGTGTAAACAAGTCTAAAGTGTGAAAGAAGATGAGTGGATTTTGTTTTAATTTCGTTTTATTCCGTTTGTGTTTTTCTTTCAAATCACATGTTGTTTTGGACGTGTTCTTATTTTCTAGCAAAGAGATTCTAGAATTTAATTCAGATGATGAGAAGTCTGGTTTGTCTGTCATGCTCAGTTAGACTCATTCATTACGGGATCAACGAATGTTATTGCTTCTACAAAGGTGATAGATTCTAAATCTAGTTCAATTGCGGACGGGAGACAGAAGGCTTTTTATCGTTTTGTTTCCTGCTTTTTTATTGATTGTATTATCCGCCATGTGAGAACGTTTTGTTGATTTAATATATTTGTTGGTTTGACGATAATAAAAAAAAGTAACTTAGAAGCTTAAAGGGCAATAGTTAACTTAGAAGCTGTTCTCTTCGCCTGATCTGAATGTTTCTGATCTGAATTTTTTAAGTTCTGATCTGATCTGATCTGATCTGATCTGATCTGAATCTTTTTGATCTGATCTGATCTGAATCTGTCTGATCTGATCTGATCTGATCTGAATCTTCCTGATCTGATCTGAATGTTTCTGATCTGGTCTGATCTGATCTGAATGTTTCTGATCTGATCTGAATCCTTCTGATCTGATCTGAATCTTTCTGATCTGATCTGATTTGAATATTTGTATGATTATAATTATAATTATAATTATTATAATTGCAATTACAAATATAACTTAAATAAAATTATAATTATAATCGTAACTATAAAAATAATAATAATAATTAAAATTAAATTTAAAATGAAAAAATTTATACATATTACACTAATTATAAATATAGATATAATTATAATGGTAATTAAAATTACAATATTTATCTCTATAATTGTAACTATAGTTATCAATATTATTATAATTACTCCGTAAAATAATTACAATAGTAACAATAATAATAATAATAATATTAATAATTATAATAAAAATAATAATTATAATCATAAATTATAACTATAATATAATTATAAGTATATTTATAATTAATAATAATTATAGTTATATTAACATTAATTATAATATTATAATATAATAATAGTAATATAAATACAATTAATATTATTATAACGATATTATTATATTAATATTATTATTACAATAACATAATAGTAATAATAATAATAATATTATAATTAGTATTATATTATTATAATATTATATTATAATTATAATTATAATCATAATTATAATTATGATTGTAATTATAATTATTATAATTATAATTAATTACAATTATAATTATAATTAATTATAGATATAATTATAATAATTACAATTGATATACTTATAATTATAAGAATTATAATTGTAAGTATAATTATAATTACATATAATTATAATATAATATTATAATAATATTAATCATATTATTATTATTATAATATTGTAATAATAATAATAGTCTTCTTAATAATTGCATTTATTTTACTATTATTATATTAAAATATTATAACTATATTAATATCTTATTTTTTTTATCATATTATTATTAATATTATTAATAATAATTATATAATAATAATCATAATAGTAATAACAATATTAATAATAATAATTAATATAATAATAAAAGTGATAAATCATGTTTGAACTTTTCTGATCTGATCTGATCTGATCTGAATGTTTCTGATCTGGTCTGATCTGATCTGAATGTTTCTGATCCGATCTGAATCTTTCTGATCTGATCTGATCTGATCTGAATCTTTCTGATCTGATCTGATTTGATCTGAATTTTTCTGATCTGATCTGATCTGATCTGAATTTTTCTGATCTGATCTGATTTGATCTGAATAAAATAAGAATAAGTAATAAGTAATAAGAATAAGACGAACAGAACAACACCTTAGTTAGCTGCTGCTCGTTGTTGTTCTTTTCCGCTGGCATGCTTACCTGCTCGTCCATTTTATTTCTTTCTTCTATCTTTCATCCTCACTTTGTTTCGTCGTTTTTTGTTCCAGTTAGTTTCACTTTTCTTTTGTGTTTTTGCTTTCATTTTGTTTACGTGTTGGCTTTTAGTTTTTTCTTTAACAATCCTTTATTTTAATTTTTTTATTCAAATATCATTAAAACGTATTGCATAAAATAATATTTAGTGTTTGAGTTTGTTTTTGTTCTTTTTCCCATCCCCTTCTAACTTAAGTTTTTTTTTTTTAATTTGTGCATTATAAAATATTGTAGGTATTAATGTTTTGTTTTTCTATTTTTAATTTTAAGATGAATATTTATTAGTTTATCAAATATTGTGTGTTATTGCTAGCATGAGTTTCGTTTTATACTAAAATGAGTATAGTATAAAATAAATGTGCATGAGTAAATATTATAAGAACAACATGGTTATATTTGTAATTCAAGAAAAAAGACTATAAATTATTTTTAATATAACACTTTTATGTTTCTCATTGTTATATATAATGAGAGTTTACTAAATCGTTAATAACGCATCTACTAAATGTACAAATTATAGAAAGGAGTTTATGTTATATTCGAATGAGTATAGCGATTAAAAGAAATGAGCATATACAAATGAATATCAGAACACAACCACGCATTCCAGCCCAGCTGTTTGCGAGGTTACCGTGCCTAGTGGGAGGTCTCGAGTTCGAATCCCGCTAGGCACATAAGGGTTTGAAACCCAATGGAGTTAGTTTCAGCCCTGATTACTCCAGGCTCCCCCAGCCCCTCCCCCCCAAACCCCCCTGGAGTAAAAAAGAAAAGAATATCAAAACACATTAGAGAATTCAATTGAACTTTTGAACATTTCGATGCTCATTTTTTAAATTAAATATGCTCATCGGGTATTGGTTTTATGCGCGTTATAAAATGTAATATTAATGCATATTTTGAAATTTCCATACTACATTAGATTCCCATGAAATCGAGTTGATTATAGACACGAGAGTAGAGATTATTATACTCAATTACATGCTTCAAATACTCAATAGAAAAAGTTAGATGTTCAATGAAAATGTCTTGATGATCAACTAACAAAGCTTATTGTTTTCATATCAATGCTCATTTTATATGTTACATATGCTCAATTGGTACCAATGTTATGCTCATTTTTAAAATGTCATAACAATGCGTATTTCAAAAGTACCATATTACATTAGATTCGCATATTGAAATTCATAGAATTGATTATAGATATAATTTAATGAGATTTTGTAAAAGAAAAAATAAGAAAAAGAAAGTGAATTACAATATATGAAGTTGATATCACAATTCTCATTATTTGACTCTTAATGCTCAGTAGAATACTTCTGATGTTCATTAAAAGTTTATTAATGCTCATCTAACGAAAACCACGATTTTCACTGAAATTACGAAAATGCCACCGTTTTTTAGTTGTGATATCAGCTTTCTTATAATAACATGCTGCTCATTATTAGACGCTTAATACTCATCGAAATTGGACTATTGCTCATTAACAGTACAATAATGCTCATTTAACAGAAATCACGATTTTCACATAAATTACAAAAATGCCACCGAATTATTTTGCTATTTTCCCCTTGGGCCTGTTACTGGGCCGGCTGTACGGTGCTCACCATACAGCCGGTTGTATAATATACATTTGGTGGAAACTAACGGGCCCAACAAGGAAACTAACGGGCCCAAGAAAAAAATAGCAAAATAATTTGGTGGCATTTTTGTAATTAAAGTGAAAATCACAATTTCTACTAAATGAGCATTAGTGTACTGTTAATGAGCAATGATCCAATTTTAATGAACACCGTGTTAGTACAAGAAAGCTGAAATCTCAACTAAAAAATGGTGGCATTTTTGTAATATCAGTAAAAATCGCGGTTTTAGTTAGATGAGTATTAATACATTTTTAATAAGCATCAGATGTATTCTATTGAGCATTAAGAGTCGAATAATGAGTATTGTGATATCAACTTCATATATGTAATTCAATTTCTTTTTCTTATTTTTTTTATAAAAACTCATTAAATTATATCTATAATCAATTTCTATGAATTTCAATATGTGAATCTAATGTAATATGGAACTTTTGAAATATGCATTGTTATGACATTTTAAAAATGAGCATAAAGGGAATACCGATTGAGCATACGTAACTTACAAAATGAGGATTGATATGA